ACCAATCTTAATATGAAGTTTTACTTGTTTAATTTTTTATACTAAAATGTCTTTTGACTGCTTGTTTAATAAAAGGAAACCATGTCCGTCTTATGTAAAACAAATTGGGATAAAAATAAATAATTATTTCAATACAGTGCTCTACTTCCTTTTATAAAATTCAGTTATTTGCTTATTAAATAAAAGGGAGCACAGCTTGATTTCTAAGTGTACTTAAATTACACTATTTGGTCAATAACAAAAAGCAGCACCAGTGACTATTTTACTTTCTTATTGACTTTGTAATGTGATTGCCAGTTTAATGAAAGGAATCTTGCCAAGTGTTCTCTCATACTAAATAGCAAGACGGCTGGCTTCTAACTGCCTAAGATACCTGTGTGCTTCTGAATCTTTGATTTTGCACACTGTTGGGAAAGGTATATTATGTAGTTACATGTTAGCATCTTACGTGTATTGTCTATTCGGTCATGTATGGGACTGGGTAACATGGTATGTTATAAATTGCTAAGTTGTTTTCAAGGCATTTTATGTTTGTGATTGCTCTTTAGTGTGCTGTACATGGCATAGTAATGCTAAAAATATAGCATTAATAAGTTTTATTACAGCATTGTAAAATGGCTGTAGTAAATATAAGTACAGGTATTGGATTTTTTTTTTTTTTATACCAAGATGTTGTCTTATAACTTTATTACAGGTTGAGCTTTGGTGTATATTTGATGAGGGTTGAGCTTCAGAGTTCATTATAACATACATCAATTCAACTTCATGTGAACATTGAAAAGAATTATTAATGATCTTCCCATTTTTAATATTATGATATACTTTACCTGTGTGCAAGTTTTAGGGTGAATTGTAATGAAATGTTTAACAGTAAGCAGATTTTATCAAATGATACTAAATTTAAGTTGCAGGCTGTTGAATACAATTCCGAGTGGATTTGTTTCGTGTTAAATTTGTCTTGTGCAAGATGTTTTATTTAGGCTTTGTCTTATTTACATACATGTTCATTAGTTAATCTCTATCTTAGAGGTAATTGTAGTTTACTGTCATGATGCTTTTGCCTTTAAAGCTTTGCAGGAATATATGAATGTATTATACTTGGACCAATATCAGTTACCGAGGACCAAAGAAGTAGTTCTAGCAAGATATGCACGATACCTTATGAGTTGGCTATGATGTAGTTAATGTAGATAACAAAGAATGTAGGAATAAGCAGTGGTAATAAGACAGTTGAGTTGCAGATAATATTGTATTAGATGTTCAGACTCATTATCTCTGTAGAGTACCAAGTAGGCCTACTGTACTGTATGCAAAGAACTAAGACAGCAACAATCTTTATTTCCTTGGAACATTACTTGAAATAATGTTTTATTTTAATTTTGTTTTCTATCCATTTCATTGTTTTATTTCTTTAAAATAATTTCATGTGATGGTAATCTGTTATATTTTTGACTTATGTATCCTGAAGTCATATCTGCATTTTTTGTATAATTGTTATTAAAGTTTGATTTATTCATTGAAGTATTTCTAGCTTATCCCTTTTTAGTTATGTATATTTATGTTCTAAGAAAAAAGGTCCTTAACCCTTTAACTGCACATATCAGTCAGGGTCATTGCATTGGTGGTGTGCATGTCAACCAATGTAAGTTTTGTGTAGCGTAAAATTGAAAACTCAAACGGGTGCATAGTACTCTCATGAGTTTCCTTAGGCCTTTGGTAAACAGATGCCATATTGGAAACAATATTGTAGGCTTCCCTCTTGGTGTGAGGGCCTCGGTGCTAAGACAGTAACATGCGTAGCATGCAGCAAACTCACCACCACAATGTTCCTCACGCCTACAGCATCAGTTACTGATGGTGAAATAAACAAATGATGAATTTAATGATAGTGATATTGATAAATTGATAAAATTGACAGGGATAAAAATAAATAAAAATAAAAAGGTTGAGATTTTTGTGAACTTGATGCAGGTGATAATATTCTCAGTGTAAATCCTACTCTGCCATCACAGCACAGAGCCACGGTTTGGTGTGTGTTCATCATACAACAGGACTCGTGTTCTTTTGAAAAATGATGAATTTTCAAAATTTAGTAACCAGGATTATAATAAGTGTTTTAGCTAATATTAGTGGTGTACATAGTCAAGTGCCAAGTACGTGGGTCTGGGCTTGAACAACTGGTTCCAAGATTATCTCGCACACCAGAATTGCTTAGTGGTATGTAATGAAGCATTAACATGTACACATGGTTATCTTGAGATGATTTCGGGGCTTAGCGTCCCTGCAGCCAGGTCCTCGACTAGGCCTCCTGTTTATTACACCCCCCCCCTCCAGGAAGCAGCCCGTAGCAGTTGTCTAACTCCCAGGTACCTATTTACTGCTAGGTAACAGGGGTATCAGGGTGAAAGAAACATTTTGCCCATTTGTCTCCGCCTCCAACGGGGATCGAACCTGGAACCTAAGGACTACGAATCCTAAGCGCTGTCCACCCAGCTGTCAGGCACCTAGTGAATAGTGTATATAATGTGCATGCAGTGCAATAGCAGCAAAACTACTAAGTTTAATTGTTCTAATATTGTCGTAGTTATGTTAGTGATGCAAATAAATTGGTGCATACTGAAGTTCTACATATTGTACACTGTAATATAAATAACATTATTGACAGCATGTCAATAATGTTATTGACATGCTGTCAATAACAAGTCCAACTCCTGGCCTGCACGGGTGGCTTAGTTTTTAAGTCCGGCGGAACTGCTTTTACCGACAGGAGAAGGGGCGAGGGCATGCCTCTGGCGCCTTAAAACCAGCTGCTCCGGGTAGATGGGACTCGATAGCCTGGGAAGGCAGCCCATCTAGGGGAAGGAAAACCCTGATTTTAAACCTCCGCTGCCTTGCGGCCATACCCTTTTTTGGGAAAGACTTCAAGAGTCAACCTCGAGGAAAAATCCGGAGTTGGAGCCTCTAAGGCAGTTCGTTGTTGATGTCGACCTCGTTCTGGCAGCTCCTGCGACGTTGCTGGAACCATGTGTATTGATATTTGCCTTTATTGGATAATTTCAACAACGTGGAGAGGGGGGACCTGCTGCATGGGTAACAGCTTCTCCTCCATATCTACCTACCCAGGCTTTGCGCCCTGTCAGGGCGCAACTCCATAGTCTTAGACTGAAGGATGCCTACTATTGACAGCATAATGTATTTGAAAAATCATAGTAAAACACTAAAAATGTGAATAAAATGAAATATTCAATGCTTGCAGTTAAAAATTGGTGTAAAATGTGCAGGGCTAGGTTGAGCTTGGATCATTGATTGTAAGATTATCACACCCACCAAAACTGTCTAGTAGTTTGAAATGGTGCGTAAAGTAGATAGCTATATACAACTTGTGTACAGTGTGATAAAAACTATGTTGTTTGTTCTAAGAATATAACATGGTGTGCATATTAGTGACTCTAATATATTTGTGCACACAAATGTTCCCCACATGTGCTGTGATATAAATTCCACTATTGGCAGCCCAATAGATATATCAGATCAGTCTTGGAATATGCAACTCTGCATTGAGCACCTCTCTGGTCAACCACAATACGAAGCTGGGGGAAAATTAAGAGGTATGGAATCAGGCTAGTACCAGAATTAAGAGATATTAATTAAGAAGAAATGGAGTAAAAAAAAAAAGACTTGCCTATCTAGAAGAGTACTTGTAGATAGGCAAGTACTTGAAGTACTTATAGTACTTCAAGTTTCTAGAATTAGAATTTCTAGAATTTCCTATCTATAATTATGTGGAGTACTACTCTACATAATCATGATAAGAGAAGCATGATTACCACAAAATTATTGGGAAAATTGTTTGGGCAGACAAGGACAAATTATTTAGAATGATTAGTACTAGAACAAGTAAACTACACACACATAACCAAGAATTCTTTCGAAGTTACTAGTGAAGAAACTGAATGCACAAAGAAGTGGTGGAGATTATCTTTATAAACGGTTTGAAATAGTCATTCTTGAGCCCAATAGTCTTGGCAACCTGAATATTGATTGATGTAGAGTTAAAAAGGCGGGACCAAATCGTGGAATCTGAACTCCAAGCACAATTATTTGTGTGAATTGTTGAAGTGCCCCTTGTGTTGTTGTTATTATTTTAAAATTTATATATACAAGTGCTTACATTCTTATACAGCCATTAGCATTCACAGCATTTTGAGCAAGTTCTTAATCCTAACTTTTCCCATAATATAACCCGCCGAATTGTTTAACAACCAAGTACCCATTCATTGCTGGGTGAACAGAGGCTACAGTTAAGGACTGGGACCCAGTAAATCCTCCCAGGCCACGAACCCAGGCCAAAGCGCTTGCAAAGCGCCAAGCGAGTGTTTTACCACTACTCCACAGGGACTGTTAATGCCTCTTGTAGTGTTAATGTCCCTTGCAGTGTTAGTGCCCCTTGTATTGTTAGAATGCTTCTTACATTATTAGTGTCATTTTGTATTACTGTATTAGCTTTTACTGCATTGTTAAAGTGTCACTTGCTTGGTTAAAGTGCCTCTTGCTTGGTTAAAGTGCCTCTTGCATAGTTAATGTGCCCCTTGCTTGGTTAAAGTCCCCCTTGGTTAAACTATCTCTTGCTTGGTTAAAGTGCCCCTTGGTTAAACTATCTCTTGTTTGGTTAAAGTGCCCCTTGGTTAAACTACCTCTTGCTTGGTTAAAGTGCCTCTTGTGTGGTTAAAGTGCCCCTTGGTTAAACTACCTCTTGCTTGGTTAAAGTGCCCCTTGGTTAAACTATCTCTTGTTTGGTTAAAGTGCCTCTTGTGTGGTTAAAGTGCCCCTTGGTTAAACTACCTCTTGCTTGGTTAAAGTGCGTCTTGCTATCGAGGCTGCACCAATAGGAGAACCAAGCGGGCGATGACGTCAGACAGCGGTGACCAATGAGAAGGTGGCGGCGGTGTTGGGGGTCGGCAGCAAATAAATAGTGGTGTAGTTGGTGGTGATCGCTCAGTAGGGAAGGTTACCACCGACCCTCCGGACGGGCTCGAGCTCCACGTGTGTCGAGGCGGACCTCACCTTCCTTATTTTGTAATTGGTTTCATTACCCGACAGAGAAGGAAGAGGAAGAGGGCGGCGGCAGGCGCAACAAGTGTTATATATATACCTGCAAGAATTTACCAAGTTGTGCTTGAGCTCTTGGATCAGGTAAGTCATGCCATATATGCTATATATATATATATATATAAAGAGTTTGTCCTCAGCGCCTATATGCATTCTCCCAGCAGCTAGTAATGGCATTTGGAAAAGGATTACTTGCTCCCCCTCCCAATTAACAATGTTTCTCTGGATTTAAGCCTGTTATTGCCAATTTTGTACACGTTTGCAAAACTCCAACAAATCCAGTACGTGTTTGTATTTAATATACGCCGCGATCTCTCTCGGAAAACTAGTTTCTGGTATGTTTAAATGATTGCGAGATATTTACCTGAATTTACACACACAAGAGATGTAACCTATCATTCTATATAACTATAGTGAACGTCGATATGATATATATAATGAACTCAACATAGGCCTTGACGGCGCATCAAAGTTAGTGTATATAAGGGGAGGGATAAAGGGCACAAATACTATCTATAATTCACGGGAAACATCAATAATACAGGAGCATACTAATTATAATACAATGGGCACTAACAATACAATTGGCGCCCTAGCAATATAACGCACGTTCTGTGTAGTCTAAAAATACTAGTGGCATTAATACATTGGGCGCTCTAGTTATGCAAAGGATATAATAATGTAATAGGCGTTCTAACAATGCCATTGGTGCTCAAAGAATGCTAGTTGAACAATGCAAAGGGCGCTTTAACAATGCTAGAGGCGCGCTGATAATGCAATAGACGCTCTAACAATGCAATGTATGCTCTAACAGTACAGTGACCGATTTAAGAATGCTACAGGAGCTCTAATAACGCGAGGGATGCTCTAACAATGTATTGGGCGCTCTAACACTTCAAGAGGGTGCTCTACCAATGTAATGGGCGCCTCTAGCTAGATGCGGCTAGGGCTCTAGTTAGAGGCGGCTAGGGCTCTAGTTAGAGGCGGCTAGCTCATAATTCCCCATTGCATATAGTTTCTATATATATTCGTTTACTGTTAGGAACTTGTGTTCATCAGTTACAATGTTCTCATAATGTTTGTGAACAAGTGATAAGCGCTCGCTGGGGTGGCGACGATGCTGGTGCAAGCATCAAGAACTTGCTGACACCGTGTTTGATAATATTGCTCTCCCCCTCTTAATACATGCTCTGGGGGGAGGGGGGGTCTGCCATGTTCCACGCCCTCTCTTATCCTTGCATAGGGAGGTACAGCCATGCTCCACTCCCTCTGGTAACACGTCCAGGCGGTACCAATATGCTCCATCGGTATATACCATGGTGGCCCGGCTGTCGTGTTCTAGAGTCGAACATATCATAAATAGTTCACTTCATTTGTTATGCATCCCCATATCCCATCTTGTGGGAGGTAGTGGGCCCCCCCCATATCCCATCTTGTGGGAGGTAGTGGACCCCCCATATCCCATCTTGTGGGAGGTAGTGGACCCCCCATATCCCATCTTGTGGGAGGTAGAGGACCCCCCCATATCCCATATTGTGGGAGGTAGTGGACCCCCCATATCCCATCTTGTGGGAGGTAGTGGACCCCCCATAACCCATCTTGTCATCTTGTGGGAGGTAGTGGACCCCCCCCATATCCCATCTTGTGGGAGGTAGTGGACCCCCCATAACCCATCTTGTCATCTTGTGGGAGGTAGTGGACCCCCCCCCCATATCCCATCTTGTGGGAGGTAGTGGACCCCCCATATCCCATCTTGTGGGAGGTAGTGGACCCCCCCATAACCCATCTTGTGGGAGGTAGAGGACCCCCCCCATATCCCATCTTGTGGGAGGTAGTGGACCCCCATAACCCATCCCGTGGGCGGTAGTGGACCCCCATAACCCATTCCGTGGGCGGTTGTGGACCCCATACCCATCCTGGATATGAATGGACCCCCATATATTGACAATGCACTCGAGAACGACCACAAATGTAGTCTTCAAGATAAGCAACTTGCATTTGCAGTGAGCTATTTTCGTAAATTGATTTGCTTGTTATGACCTTCATCCCCTGCCCCCACCACCTCATCCAAGATATAATGTATGAGAGAAGTCAAACCATGCAACACTACATGTGAGTCAAAACACCCATTTCACTTATGGTAAAAAGAGAAATGCTTGGAGTGACTCTGTGTACATGCGGCTTAGGCTTGGGTACAAATATTACTGGGAATATGGGATAGGTGTTCATGATAATGACACGAAGTGTAAACTATGTGGTATGTTAAGGTCTCACACCCTGGCCCATTATGTTCTTGATTGTCCGTTGATTAATGCATATAGAAACACTGAGATAAGGACTGTTCCTGAACAAATAGCCTGGATGTGTCACAACGGAAAGGTTGATGATATTCTTGAGAGATATAAGAATTTTGCACCAAGACTGTAATATTTTGTTGAATTATCTGCATGGCTCTTGCAAATTGCCTATACAGTATACCTAGGTCATAAAAGTATTTGTGTGTACGTCTGGTACCATACTACTTGTGAAGGAGGAAATGTATATGTTTATCTCCCAGAATGTTTGGTAATGTTTATTGTTTGTGATGTGTGTATATGTATGTATTAACACGATGTACTGAACGGGGTGAGAATAGCTTGAGCTACCTCATCCCTTTGTGTGTATTTTACATCAATAAACTTATTTCAATTTCAATTCAATCACATCCAATGATCGGTGGTGGAAAGATAACCATCCCAGTCCGTCCTCTGGAGCGCTTAAAACGTCACTAAACTGATGTACTTAAATTGCCTGAACTAACCTAACCGAGGACCCACAAATAGAAAACGGACATCATCAATATTGTGAGCCGCTATCATGTTTAGTATATTAGTTTTTGGCCTTAGAGGATTTATACGTCAAAATGCTCCATATAGTACAGTTTTAGAGGACGGAATGATACACATTACGAGGGTATACACCAGTTTTCTTCACGATGTTTCCTTGATGCTTAAGGACGGTTTCTTTGTCTTTCTGATAACCTCGTCAGGTTGTTTTGAGATGATTTCGGGGCTTAGCGTCCCCGCGGCCCGGACCTCGACCAGGCCTCCTTTTTGTTACCCCCAGGAAGTAGCCCGCAGCAGCTGTCTAACTCCCAGGTACCTATTTACTGCTACGTGAACAGTTGCATTAGGGTGAAAGAAACGTTGTACATTTGCTTCTGCCTCCACCGGGGATCGAACCCGGAACCTTAGGACTACGAATCCGAAGCGCTATCCACCCAGCTGTCAGGCAATAGGTGTCTCCCAGAGTGGTGTCTGTCACAGCCTTATCTGTCTCCCTCTCTTTGTTTTGTCGACGTTCAGTTTTCCACACTCTCTCTCTCTCTCTTTTTAACTAACATTTCTAACATTATTCTGGGGTCTGGTTCCAGTCTGAATCTTCTCCCCCCTTTTTTTGTTTAACTAAGACTAGGGTTCATAATAGCTGTCAGGTGACGAACTGAGTGAAACTGCAAGCAAGAGCTGTTATCATACCTCAGCTCGTCTAAAGCCTTCTCCTAGAAACTCATTGATATCATGGGAATGTACTTTGAAACTATCACATGGGGGAACTATCACAAAGGAACTATCCTATAAGGAACCTGATGAAACTGCAAGCAAGAGCTGTAATCCTACCTCGGCTCGGTTGAACCCTACTCCTTGAGGCCCGTTTATTTCATCAGCCTTCATGAGACCTGTCTCTTCCCCCAGAAGGGAGACAGGTTTCATGACTACCAGCGCCTGAGCTCCATACGGACGTTCCAGGGAGGTCCTGAGCTCCATACGGACGTTCCAGGCAGGTCCTGAGCTCCAGACGGACGTTCCAGGCAGGTCCTGAGCTCCAGACGGACGTTCCAGGCAGGTCCTGAGCTCCATACGGACGTTCCAGGGAGGTCCTGAGCTCCAGACGGACGTTCCAGGCAGGTCCTGAGCTCCAGACGGACGTTCCAGGCAGGTCCTGAGCTCCAGACGGACGTTCCAGGCAGGTCCTGAGATCCAGACGGACGTTCCAGGCAGGTCCTGAGCTCCAGACGGACGTTCCAGGCAGGTCCTGAGCTCCAGACGGACGTTCCAGGCAGGTCCTGAGCTCCAGACGGACGTTCCAGGCAGGTCCTGAGCTCCAGACGGACGTTCCAGGCAGGTCCTGAGATCCAGACGGACGTTCCAGGCAGGTCCTGAGCTCCAGACGGACGTTCCAGGCAGGTCCTGAGCTCCAGACGGACGTTCCAGGCAGGTCCTGAGCTCCAGACGGACGTTCCAGGCAGGTCCTGAGCTCCAGACGGACGTTCCAGGCAGGGCCTGAGCTCCAGACGGACGTTCCAGGCAGGTCCTGAGATCCAGACGGACGTTCCAGGCAGGTCCTGTGATCCAGACGGACGTTCCAGGCAAGTCCTGATACAAATTTCTTACTATATAAAACTGTGAAGGATATACACAAATCAGGGAAAGTTGCACAACAAAAAAGACCGCGTTTTCTACTATGCATTTGCTGAGGGCTTGAGAAGGCGCCAATAGCCAAACCTAGCGTCTCCTGGGCCTATACCAGGTGTACTGAAATTGCCCTTTGATTATGCATGTTAGGCTTAGGGTAGGTTAAGTTATTGCCGATTTTGTTCCGGTTTTTGCTATATGAATAATGGAAAATTTAGATTTTTGGGGTGAAACATATTAAATTTGTACACCCCGTCCACAATCGCAGTAGACACTATCAGTTTTGAGCAAACTGGAGTAACCTTGGACAGCGCCGCAGATGGACTAGAGAGGTTCTTCAGCAACTGAATTCGCACATGATAAATTTTATCGATTTTAAATCATTTCCATTCAGAAATTCTGAAATAAAATTGGGCCTTGGTAAAGTTTCCTCCCGTTCTACCCGGCATGTCTAATTAACCAGAGCTTACGCATATTAATATGAAACATTGGATTTGTATATAATACAATCAGCAGGATCGCTCGTGCGGTTGAATGTAAGGAACACCAACATTAGAATGTTGGAAAATATAAACAAACGTATGTTTACTTCCTATAAACTTAACTTTAATATAATTAGTCATTCTATTCCTC